TGCATGATAGGTTTAGCATCAGGGAGAATTCTACTTCGTAGTCGTCCCATTTGCAACTTCCCAAAGTACCATCGAATAGGTCAAGTACTTCGTCAGTAAGGAATGAAGCTGTTCCTTCTCTTCGCGTGTTTAATGATCTTGACTTTGGCAAACCTGCCTTAATCAGTTCGTTCGTATTTCGCATCAAGAACTTCTTGAGACGATCGCCCTGTCATCAACAGCGTAGGAATCAGGAATGAAAAAGTTTTCTTCTTCATTGGTCCGCTATCTTTCATAGGAATAAGATGCCGTCCCATTCCACTGACATGGTAGTGAATCGAACTTGAAACCTAAGTCAGAGAGAATATCTCGACCTATGATCATGTCATACGCCCCAAGCTCTTGGTGACGTGTAAGTCCCACTCGATAATTCTATCTTCGTGGAATTCAGGAATCATGAATGCACCTTTGCACTTCGGCTGGTGTTTAATTCTCCTGCAGGGGTAGTCCACATCGTTTGGACGCCCCCAAGATTCTTTCATGCGTAATTTCTTAGCATGAGTTTGAGAATCAAGGTTCCAGATGCTCCTTTATCCAAGTAAGCAACGGAGTGTAACGGGTTTTGGTTTCCCTTTTCCTCGCTTGTTAAATCTAACATAAACGATGGGTTGAGGTCTCTTGTCTTGCGACGTTACGAGGTGGTTGGCCACGGACGAGGTTAACGATGCTAAATAGATCATCAGAGTCAGTTGAGCAGCTTCTAGGCAATCATCTAATTTGCGTAGAGTCATCAGTTGCAAACAATTCTTGTTTACTAGTTAGTGAGATATTCATCACTTTGGTATGAGAAATCGGAACAGGGTTCCGTTGAGTCATCATCCTGGCCTAATCCTCAGATAGAGATTTCTCCATCCAAGTGATTGAAATTGATAGAGGAGTTGTCCTCATTGTCAGAGTCTTCTGATTTGCGCTTGGCAACATGGTTGCGAAGTTTGCAAGTGGTTGTACGAGTATCGTCGATCTCGTTTTCTCCGTCATTGTCGACGAGAGGAAGAATGGGTTTGTCACGCAACTGTTTCTCGAAGTTGCGGAACGCATGCTTTCCTTGAGCCATCTTCATGGTGAAGGAATAGGTTGAGGGTAGCTGAAAGCTATTGTGTTTGTTAACAAAATGCACTACGCTAAAAGCTAGTGTAAGATCTTTCGAGTGTTTGAGTTTGAGAGAATGAAAGTAATGAGAGAGATTAGAAAGCTATGAAAACTAATCAACGAGAGAGATCATCATCAAAGGATCGTAGATCTGACTTCCCGCGGGGGGAGACTATAAAGTGTGATAGAGTATGTTGTGGTAGTAATCCTACGTCTCTCCACGATCCTAAAACGGAACGCGTGGAAGGTTTGTCTAGCCTGGATCTAGTAGCGTGGAAGTACTCCACGCTGGCTAAATATCTAGAGCGATATTTCATCATCAACCTAGTATGACTAGAGCGGTCATTGAGAACCCTGTCTCAAATGACTATTCACGAGAGACTCGGTCATGAGTCGAACTCAAACCCTATCTAGGATCGAGTCGCGAATAAGGCTAAGAGCCGTGTATTGCACAACAAATGGATGAAGAACGAGAAGTTCGACATTGTATCTGTCCTCAGAGGGCAGACACGAATCCCCGTGGATAAGGACGAGCTCCTCAAAATTGGCAGCAAGAAGGAAGATTGGATCAAACACGTCGACTTTATTGCCGAGAAGTTTGACATTATGGAATGGTGGGAGGACACCGGCAAAGAAGAATTCCCACTGCTGTATCCTATTGCATGCATCGTCCTTGCCTTGCCCCAAAGTAATGGGGATCAGGAAAGAACTTTCAGTGGCGCCACGTGGATGGATGGAAAGCTCAACTCCAAGCAAACAGACATCACATTTCAGATGAAGGTTCTCACCTACAAGAATCGTGCCTTCCTCCGCCAACACCGTCACCTTATGAGCGTTGCAAGGAAGCGGGTGGCCGAGAACCGCACAAAGAGACTTCTCAGAGAACATGTGAAGAAATTGACCCGTGCAGAGGAGGAGGGCAAGGAGCCTGAAGATATCACCCAGGAAATGCTGGACGAGTTGGAGCATTACGCTAATGAAGATGCTGCTAATGCAGCCTTCATTGATGCCAATGCATATGGTGTAGCAATTGGGATTGAACATGGGACGGGAGCAAACAACACACAAGTCTTGCGGGCCATGTTCAATTTCCTTTGGTTCAACCACTGATATAACCAGTGGTTACCGGTTACTAACCTATAAAATAACCTATAACCAATGCCAAATAACCAATAACCAGTAACCAGTACCTTAGCTTGAGTGGTTATATAACCAATAACCAGTAACCAGTACCCCCAATTGAGTGGTTGAATAACCAATAACCAGTAACCAGTACATAATTGATTGGTTAGCGAACCCTGAACTGTCTACAACCTTTCGCATAGTGACGCGCTATTCCACGGAAATGGTCGTCTGCAGTCCCGAAAGAGTCATACCCAACTCAATTGCTTATCCGTATCCCTAATTGAGAAAGGGGACCAAGGTGAGATAAACCGATCTCGCGGCCCATCTAGCTGTGGCTTTTCCCAACCATTGGCTTTAGCAGGAAACTAGTCGAGGCCTGCTGGGTGACTGACTAGTAGGCCTGTTAGATTCACCTTTAGAAGCCGATCAGATTGTCTGTCTCCTAGCTAGCTAGATTCCGGTGAAAAATTCCCAGAACTAGATCTAGCTACTAGACTGGACCACGAACTTTGAGAGCTCTTGAGTCTCTAGCTAGAGGAGCTAGACTACTAGTAGGTGGTACTACTGCGGTACTGTACTCGGTACTGTATGCAAACATGCAGAGAGCGGTCTGAAACTGCATCCACTGGCCAGCCAACCCCGCCCACCAGTACTGTAGCGTACTAGTAGCTATCCATGCATAGAGCTGCATGCCGCAATACTAGCTAGTACTGGAGTACCAGGTAGTACCAGGTACTGATCAGCGGCAAGTAGTACGTACCTGGTAGTACCTACAGTACTGGTACCCTGCTATTTTAAAATAGCTAGAAGACTGGAAGGTTGCCTTCTGCACTACGGTACTTCAGGCCAGAAATGATGCAATCACAGAAGTTCTGGAAGGCTCAAAAGAGGCCAAAATAATAATGCACAGTGAACAGAATCTAATCAGCCAGACTGGTACTCAGTACAGCTCAAAGTACTTCATCCTCCATACTCAATTACTGTACTCTACTCCAAAAGTGAAGAACTTTTTGGGAAATGGACTGATTTGTTTAAAGGGAAGGCTAAAGGCTCAAGGCAAAGCCTTTTCAGCTGAATTGTTACCAAAGTCTTGCGCTGTCTTGTGCAGCAGGGAGGAGCAGTGCTGCATCGATCGCGGATCGCGGATGATGCTACGTGTAGGATGCGAGATGCGGAGAATAAATAAGAACCTCTTTTTGGGGAAAATTGTAATAAATAAATTAGTGCAAGAAGAACCATCAGGAACCTTCTCATTGAGACCGCTTTCTTGAAACTAGAAAGTGATATTGTGCTGTTTTACTCCAGTAGCACACCAATAGTTTTACTAGTATTGGTCCACTGCAGACTGCAGCTCGCTGGTCGCATTGAGCTGACAACCAGTACCGTACGTTACTACTGTTTCACTACGTATTACTGTACTGTAATACGCACATCGTACGCCGTAGTACATGTTTACTGATTGCCACTGAATACGTCCCTTCGCAAAACGAATATTTAATACTATTAATTAATAGTAATTCAGAACAAACTGTGACGTTCAGTGGCCAGTGGCCAGTGGCAAAAGAGACACAAGAAAATTTAATAGTGAAATGGCATGTTAAAACTATTAGTAGTTCTAATAGTACATAAATCCTTGCCTTTTATTAATTAAAGCATACTTGCTGAAATTACTTAATGCCATCGAAATGAGTACTAGTACCGTACACTGTAGAAAAAACAAAGCAATACCGGGTTCCGGGGCGAGTTATTTCGCCTGCCCCAGCGGCAGCCCCAGTGAGATATTATCATGTGGGCTGAAGTGGGGTCCATGCCAGTACCTGGTACGGTGCCCATGGCCAGTATAAGCTCAGCAAAGCGACTGTACTAGTAGTAGTGTACATGTGACACTTTTGGTGTATTTTGAGTTCGTATTGAAGAGCTCATGCTTCGGATTAATTCACCAGTAACTGCTCCCTAATTGATGACAGTACAGGTAAGATTATACAGTCGTACCATTGTAAGAAGCACAGCGATCGATCGTGCCAAAGATCCAAGGAGGCAAGAAGATTTTGGAGGATTGCACCTTTTTTTGCATTCAGTAAGCACTTCGTACCCAATATCTTTGTTGTGTGAATCAAAGCCTGCACAACAATTAGAGATGAAAAATGGCTCTTATAGGCTCTACTCCTGTTCGCATTAAGTTTCGGAGAAGATCTTCACCGTCACCGCTCGACCGGGACTCATCCGAACAGTCAGAGGCGACGCAAGCAAATTAATTAATTAATTCTTCTCGTGCAAGCTGCAGGCAACAGATTTTCCATGCTGGATCGATGCTCGATGCTCGAATCAGTTGCGGGTTGCGGACCAAAAATTAATACTGCTTCCAGCGGCATTAGCACTTCAGCCTCTTCTTCCTTTTTCTCTTTTTTTAGGCCATGTCGGTTTCTTCCCACCTTTACCAGTGTATTATTTTAAAGTAGTAGCTACCTGTGTAGCAAACAGGTTGTAGCATAATTAAGGACCCAGGTTACAGCTACTTATGAACTTCTCTACTATTCATCTAATCCGAACGGTTCCTAAGAGAGCCATTTGTTGGTTACATGTAGACTCATGTAGCATTGAGTACTCAGTATGTCAGTATTACAAGTAGTATGTCAGTATGAAGTGGTTGCCAAGCGAGGGTGATGCTGATTTAACTACGAGACGCCACGGCGGATTGCACAGCTGTTGTACTGCCTCAGTTTCGTTCGGATGTTCGGATTGGTGCCAGGGCCCGTATCGCATCCTCATACTTGTTAGAAATCCTGCTACCTACAATCGCAGCTCCAGGGAAAAATCAGACTTGTCTGAGACCTGTAACAAAAAAGATTCACCATGACCAGCAATGCAGAAGGACTAGCCGCAGCGGCCTTGGCCAGCATGAACTCTCCCAGCTTCCAAGGGCAAGAGAAAATGGCGGATCCCCCCAAGAAGAAGAACGGTGGCAACAGAGGACGAGGAAAGCAAGTGGAACTCAAATTCCCAGTGGAGCCTCGCGTCATTCAAGTGATCAAGAAGCCTCGTACCATCATGAACCACTCTTACCGTGATTTCTCCTGCGTCCCTCCCGAGGCAGGCGAAGTGGTCCCAACAGATATCAACCAGATGACCTTCCCTCAAAAGGTACACCATATCCTTTCTCAGCCTGAAAACTCCAAGTTCATCAGCTGGATGCCTCATGGAAGAGCATTCCGAATCAGCATCCCCAAGCTCTTCGAATCGAAGGTGTGCGCCAAGTATTTTGGCCACACTCGCTACAGTTCCTTCCTAAGGCAGCTCTCGAACCATTCCTTCAAGCACCTCACGCAGGGCACCGACAGGAATTGTTATTATCATGAGGTAAGCACCGAGTTGGGGTCTTTTGTGGTCTTGTGATTTTGGATCGATTGGCACTAACAGTCTTTGCCTTTGACTTTGCAACAGTTCATGCTTCGAGGGCTACCCCATCTCGGAAAGTACATGCCCAGGCCAAAGGACGCAAGGCGCTTGGTCCCCGATCCTTCCAACGAGCCCGACTTTAACGCCATCAGCAAAGCCTTTCCTCTTCCTGGTGGAAATGGTAATGGTGTGAACGCGGAGCCCACGCAAGAACCACAGGCTGCTGCCAACATGCCAGTTGCCGGCAGTCCTCGTCTTGCATCTGTTCTTGTTTCCACTAGTGGTGGAAACAGTCCCATGCCACCGGCAAAGAAACCCCGAATGGAACCTGTGGTACAGGCTACCCCACAATTCCCTCTCCATGTGCCGCCTGTGCAAAGCCCTGTGCAAGCACCTCAGGTACAACTTCCGGTTCAGGTAGCGCTTCAATTGGCGCTTCAAGCTCCTATTCCTGCGCCCGCACCTGTCCAGGCGCCAGCCCCTGTTTCGTGCCCTCAGCAGCAAGTTCCGAATGTCAGTTCCCAAGAAGCCCAGCAGATTTTGCATCTGTTGGTCAATCACGCTGCGAACACATCCAATCCTCCCAGGGTTGTCTCCGCTCCTGCCCCCCCTCCGCCACCTCCCCAGCCGGACAACAGCTTGGTACTACAAGAATTGGCTGCACTATTGAGAGGCAATCAAGGTTTTACCCTGAACCAGCCTGCTGCTCCTGCCCCACCTCCGCCGCCACCACAAGCTCCCCAACCGCCATGCAACTCGGCGCTACAAGACTTGGCGGCGCTTTTAAGAAGCAGCCAAGGTGTGACTGTAAACCAGCCCGTGGTCGCTGCACCTGCACCTTCGGCGCTTCAAACCGCCCAATGGCAAGCGGCACAGGAACGAAACGATGCTGTGGTGGCTGTGATACGAGGAGGTTTGCGAGCTCGATTGGAAGAAACTCCGACGCCTCCTCCTGTTTCCAACAACTCGAACGAACTTGCTACCGTGCTGGCAGCTGCGCTTGTTCAACAATTCAACAGCAACCGTGGAGGGTGCTCGAACCGCCACTAAGAGAAAAGATGGATGCCTTATACTTTGCTTTCTACATGACGATACATGAAAATACGATCTAGCCACAAAGGCTCAAGGCTGGTTGCATTCATCTTTTATTACATTACAATGCACTCACTCTCAGGAAAGTCGACCAGCACACCGATAATCTGGATAGTCCCTTACTTTTAAACCATACATAATCAGATCTCTTCACTAAACAATACATTACCGGGTCCCTTCACTGAAAGGTTTAGCATCTCGTCTGCTTCTTCTACTCTACTGATACGGTAGGGGATGGAGATGGTGGCCACTGCTACGGTACAAAGCGAAGTGCGAAGGCTTGAGTATCTCAAAGCCTCCACTACCAGCAGGAAAAAGAACAAAACAACCTTCAACATTTCTTCTCGCTGCAGCTGCTATCACTCGTTGGATGGGCCGTTACCGGCACCATCAGATGGTGCCGGTGATGATCTTACTCTTTCAAATTTCCGAAGACTACATGTAACAGTCGGGCTACCACTAGCTAGCACCACGGCTCAGCCCTCTATTCCTGCTCCCAGCCAGGGGCAACCAATGATGCGAAGACTTGAAACTCTAACAGCCACCCCACTCCAGAGTCCGGTACGGTTCTAGCTAGCCAGCGGCCACAGTCTTCCAATAAATTTTTAGCTCTTCCATTGCAGTTTGGGAGTGAAAAGTTGGTTGGGAGGCTGACGTTCCATCTTACTGGCAAGCTTTGTCGCTTTGTCGTATCGTTGCACTTCAAGAGCGACGTTGCTTTTTTGGGCTGTACTTGAAGAGTACTTGAAGCTGCAGTTTTCCTTGAACCTAATCCAGATGGCTTAGGAAGATGTTCCATCCGAAAGCATGTTGTTGATTATTAATCAAAATTTAATAATGGTCAATTTTCTTCTTCAAGCTTCTAAGAGATTGAGTCAATACTTCTTTGGATTTTACTTATTAAAATAGCGACTTAGCGGAGAAACTGATGGAATGGTCCAGTAAATAGGTGGTACTAGAGTAGTGTGTACATCATGTGTACATTAATATTATTTAGACTACAATACTTGAACATAACAGCAGAAATTTTTATTCGAAGGAATTTGCTCTCACTAATAATTAAGCAATCATGTCCTGCGACTGGGCCCAGCCGAGGACGGAATAATTGATACTCCGCGCTCGGTAGTTGAAAGGGCCCGAAATGGCGATTTACACCAAATTCCTATTTCTACTTGTGTTTCGATTTTATATTTTGGTTTCAGTTTTATATTTAGGTTTCGATTTTATATTTAGGTTTCGTCAAGATTTCACTAGTTATTTACCATAGTAATTTGGTTTCGGTTTTATATTTTGGTTTCGGTTTTATATTTTGGTTTCGGTTTTATATTTAGGTTTGGAATTGATCAATTTAATTGGATTCTTAAAATCCTGATTTCGGGCCCTTTCGTTGACCAACAAGCATGTGTGTACCAGGTGGTAACGGTATGCATACCGGTATGTGCGCAAACTCGATCTACATGTAATAAATTCTCAAGAAAGCTTCAAAATGCCTTCAATTACTTGACTTCTGAGGTGACTGCGGCCATCCAACCTACCGGTACCGGTACCGTGGCAAACGCAACTTTCATAAACTCTAGAGGATAGCAAGTAGTTGATTGGGCAGCAGCTACAAAGTGTACACTGCTGTGTCATAGTGTGACAACGAGGCTGATAGACTAGCTAAGCTGGCTACTAGCCAGATCATTTATTTATTTGAAAATTAACAGCTCAATTAGTCCAACTGAATCTGACAAGGCAAGACTTGTAAACAAACTAAATATTTTAAAATAGCTGAGCTATAGCTGGCTGTCTCCGCGGGGAGAAAAGAATTTCAGTTTCTGCTGAGTCGACTCAAGTCGAGTCGCCTTTCCAGAAAGGAGAGTGGAACCGAATGTCGGAGTAATTCTTGATAACCCGCTAAAACACCAATCCTCTACGATGAGCCCATAAAGCTGTATTGGCATCCAAACGCAAATTGTACATCGCGCTTTTGGGGTGTGGTGGAAGGTGTGGCAACTTTGCTTGGCAAAAGGCAAGTCAAACCGAACGGTCAACCAGCTGGATGCTTTGCTCAGCAAATGGACAGGATATGGGGAGTTGGTTGTTGATGCTAGATTTTGCTCTGAACTTGATCAGTAAGTGATGTGGTTCCCTCGCAATCTCTAACCCATGAAGGACAACATGAAGCAATACCTCAGCCAGGAAGGTTCCTGTAACGAACGAAGGCTACATACCGAGGTGCGCGCTGATTATTAACTTAGGCATTACACTTTCCCCGAAGGGATTATGTTCTATGCTTAGTTAGATTTGAAAACGGCATATGCAAGCCGAGGTGCGTGCTGAGCACTTTTACAAGTTACTCATGTTATCATGTAACATGAGGCAGAGTGCTGCAGCTCGTCCTATCCAACTCGTTTCTCTAGTGTAGCTTTATTCAGCATATTTTGAGAGCTTGGCTGGAGGAAGAATTCGATCTTTTCAGGCGGGTAAGGCTATTGACCCATTTCCAAGCTAGCAAGGTCGCTGGTTTTCTCTTGCAGGAAGATTTGCATGGTTGTGTTGCTTCTCTGAATCGAATCGATTCGATTCGACTCGATTCGAACATGTGGAAGCAAACATGCTCCAGCCATGACTGGGTTGAAGATAGAGTTAAGGTGATAACGGGACAGTTTGTGTAGCTGTTGAGGTAGAAAACGTCAAAGCCTGAGCAGTCGTTCATCGAGCGTTTTGTCGGTGGAAGATTTAAGGTGCGACAGCAGTATTGTTTTTGAGAAGACATTTCGCTGGGAGCGCGCTCAGCCATAGCGCTATTTAAAAGAGATTGGATATGATTTCTCTAAATACCAAAGCTGTTAGGGTAATTAGAGAGCACGCAAGGTGAGTAGATTCGCTGGGTCGCCGCTCTTTTCTAATTGAGCCATCACGAGCGATGATTACGAGACTTCAGCTGTTGGTACTTAAGCAGTTTTGAGCTCTTGGCGTTGTATGTACTAAACCAGAGCGCTCCCAACGCCCACAATATCGCCACATGGATAGGTAGTAGCTAGCTAGATAGTGCTGGTCGGATTGACACCAACCCAACAAAGGTCCGATAGAGGCATCCGTCATATTATCTCCATCGGCTTGGAGCTGGACAACAAAAACCTCCCCATCAACATCTACCAAGCAAAGTTGGGAGCCAACAGGAGGAGGTGCGTAGTGTCTCTTACGATTAGACCCAGCGGAATGGAGACTCTCGCGGGATTTTTCGTGGGGCGATTTCGGTAGCGACGCAATTAATCCCGCTTAGAGTTCTTCTCCGCTCGGGTGTATGTTGGGCAGAAGCTGGCTTTGTTATCCTAACATCTCTTTTTTGTTGCCACCATGCTCTTGTTCACAGCGAGCCCTGACCAGCCGAAAAGCCGTGAAACGACGATCGGTCTGGCGAGAGATAGAAAAGGAGTAGCCATGACTGGTAATGAAGAACCCAGTGAACCGCGGAAGTTGGAGCAGCAACGGCCTCCAAGCATGGAGCCACCACCGGATGCCAGCAATGTCGGTGCTGGGCCAAGGCAGCCGGAAAGCCCTCCTACTAGCCGTTCTGCTAACGACAAAAATGCCATGGGAAGTCCTCGACAACAGCAGCCTACTGGGAGACCTCCACATGCTCCATACAGTAGGCACCAGGGGTATGCTGGACAATATGCGGGATATGGTGGGACAAGACCACCACAACAGCTTCAGTCAGTTGTTACAAGTTCATTCAGTGCCGAAGATGAAAGGGATCCTTCGCACCGTGGCTCTTACCCACCAGTTCCTCGCCACGTGAATGTGAGCATCAATCCAGCGGACCAACCGCGATGGACAGGTCCTACGGATGATCGCTATCCTCCCGAGAGACTGGATGTGGATGTCCGGGAAGCTGATCAAGACAGACGACAAGAACCTCCTCCTGAAGACCAATCGGCGTTAGGCAAACCTTCTGTTGTCCCGCCTAGTCCAGCAAGGGGAAGAGGCTTGCCACCGCTTTCGAGAACTTCCAGTAGTGGTGGCGGATCATTCATGGCCCCACCAGAGCCGCTAAAGAGGAGCTTTTGGCATCATTCTAGGCCCAACGAAGAGTTTTCGCCTGCACTACCGGCAGAATTTGTCCCGCCAACTTCAAAGCGAACCAAGGTATCTCCTCCCATGCCCAGGAACGACCCTCCTTCAAGGTCGCCCACGGGCATGGATATGAGAGATCTACGAAGGCCTCCTTCGTTTTTCAATCGGTCTCTGTCGTGGGATTCGCGTGGTGATGAAATGTCTTACTACCACGGGATGCCTCCAGCACGAGAGAGTCCAAGGTACGGTTCGGAACATAGCAGGTCTTTTCATCATCACAATATGGGAGGGCCACCTCCGCATCATCACTACCACCACCATCACCGTCATTCAAGCCCAAGCCCCCCGGGGTCGTACCGGGATGACGAAATGGGTAGCATGTCCGACCACTCAAGGTCAAGGGGTATTCCGCCGCCTCCTCGGAGCCACCACATGCATTATCCTCCTCCTCCACCGCAAGAAGTCGGCTATCACCACCATCATGGTTCACCTTCCCATGCCGCAGCAGCGGGGGCGGCGGCTGCTCATCATGGTAGACGTTGGTCGCATCCGGACGCGTGGCAGCCACCCCTCCCGTCACCAACTTCTGGGCCCAGACGAAGCCCAACAAACTATCACCATCCTCACTCTGGAAGCCCCACCATGCAGTTCAGAGACGATATCGAGTCGAACCGTGGATGGACACAGAGTCGTGAAAGGGATCCCATGCCTATGCCCCATGAAGACCATCGCCGACTACCACATTTTGATTCCGGCCTTGACCATGATGCTTACCACAGCGGGCATTCTCCTTATCACCCAAGCCCCTACTACGGTAGGGCTCGGCCAATGCACCACAAGCCTCCACCACACCATTCGCCTATGGGCGGTGGCAGGAACGCTATGCCTGTTGATCCTCCTTCTCAAAGGAGTGTATCGGCTGCGGATAGCCGGTCGATGCTCGATGGTTCTCCTTCATGCGATAATGCAAAGAGCTCTGATAATGCCGAAGATGGAAAAGGCAAGGATGGACCACTTTTGTTACTTGCCCTTCCCCAGGACAGGATTTCTCTTAGCGAAACTCTTTGTGTCGTTCGTGAGGTAAGCGCGTGTTTGCTACGATTCAGACAACTTGCTATGGAGTCGGTCTCTCACCAACACTCCTCTCCCACTAGAACATTGAGGTGTTCACGGCCACGAAGAGTGACGTGGACGCACCGGCACCGGGTCGCAAACACGCCGTTGTGGTTGATCAAGTTGGGCTGCGTTGTATCCACTGTCGCCATACAACGCGCAGTAGTGATCGTGTGAAGCGGGCAGTTTGCTACCCGTCGTCCATCAAACGGATCTACCGAACAGTCATTGACATGAAGCTTGATCACTTCTTGCAGTGCAAGTTTGTTCCGTCCGCGTTGAAGGAAAGGCTGGCGGAATTGAAAGTAAAGCATACGAGGAGCACGGGAACAACTATGCAATACTTCATCAAAGCCGCGCATTCGCTTGGGCTCGAAGATGGCCCATCAGGCGTTCGCCTGAACAGTAGCAAGGCCACGCACCGCCTCACAGATGGCAGTGACCCAGCAAGCAAAGCGGGATCCAAAGAGTCGCCAGCGGAATCGTCGACTGCGGATAAATCAAAATGTGAGGATACCCGTGTCCCAGACCAGCAGACCACCAGTTCGAGCGCGCGGCCTATTGCTCGTTTGGACTCGATGTCGTCGGAAACTTCAGCCGCAGAAAACGGAACTGCAGATCCTGACAAGTTTTTCACTGGCAAGATCAATCTTTCTCTACCAGAGGATAAGATGGCCCTTAGCCCACTTCGGTGCTTCTTGAGGTCCCAAGTTTGCGCCTTCTCGGCTACTGCAGAGGATATCGCTGTGAGAGCACCAACAACGTTCTCGATTACCGTCGGTCAGGTTGGCATCGGATGCATCCATTGCGTCAATCAGCCATCAAAGTTACGATCGAATAGAGCCGTTTGCTTTCCCTTCTCCATCTCGAGGATCTATCAATCTGTTGCAGACATTCAGCGCTTCCATTTCGGCGAGTGCAAGATGCTTCCTGTAGATGTCCGAGAAATGTTTCTGGACCTCCAGCGTGCGAGCTCGAAGGGTTCCAAGGGCTTGGCAACTCGGCAGTACTGGATTACTTCCGCAAAGAAGATTGGCTTGGTTGACACCCCAAGAGGTATCCGTTTCGGCCGCGATCCAAACAAACCAGAGACGACGTCCATGTCGCTGGACATCCTAGCTCAAGTCGCGTTCAATGTGACCACTGCAAGTCGTGCGTTGGTCCTGCCCGAAGACAAGCCATTCATTGCCGAGTTTCTCTACGTGGTTATGGAACAGCTGCAGCCCTGTCGCTTCACTGAAGCTGACCGCAACAAGAGGCGCTTGAAGGACGTCGGCTGCATCGGAGTTGAGTGCAAGCACTGTGCTGGCCAGGTTGACGGTCGAAAGTTCTTCTGGTCCAGCGTCAATGCAGTGGAATCTAACTTTGTCTCCGTTCACACACACATGATGGAATGTCGCATGGTACCTCCTGAACTGAAGGAGAAACTAGCCGACCTCAAGAAGCTTAGGAAGGAGCAAACTGCGGCTCTGAAGACGGGATCCCAGAAGGCTTTCTTTTCTCGTGTCTGGTCGAGGCTTCATGGCGACGGCGAGAAACGCGGAGCGGACCCATCTGGGAATAATTCGACGACAAGCGCATCAGCAGCGAGTTCTCCACCCCTCTCAAGTGGATGTCCATCTCCGATGATGAGCGAGACCGATTCCGTCGTGGTCGCAGGAGTGAGTGACGATATGCGTCAGATGTCAGTTGTGGAAATCTAGAAAGTGCGTAGTGAGAAAGAAGGACTCTTGGTCGAACCGGATAAGGACTAAGGGGATCAAGGGCAGAGCGAGGCCTTGAACATGTGTGGAAGTGCCGCAATAGCGACCCATGGCAATACTAGTAGCGAATACTTGTTGCCATTATTACTGTCACTTCTGTTGTCGACCTAGCTAGGCTAGCCAATACCGGTAGCTTTACGGACTAGCGTGGCTAGTTCGAAGATGAATGGTGTGACGTAGCTTCGAAATGTCCATCTCCCTTCGAAACAGTTGATTACTATGCGGTTAGAGGTGAGGTCGGGGGGCTAGAGCGCCACGATCGCCCCAATGCCGAGAGCTCACCCTACCTTACCTTAGAGGCACCAGGAACACGGGGAACAGAGGAACACGGAGGCACATTTTAGCTGCGTGAGCAAGGGCAATGCTGCTCAGTCGGGCAGAAATGTACGGTACCAGTAGGAGCGAACCACAGAGTAGGGCTTGGACCACTTCTCAGCCAAAAGCAGGGAGAGGGCTCTCCGTGTGTTTTGGTATCGTTATAGGGGTGAGAAGTTCCCAGAGTTGTTCCCAGCGCATGCATGTGAGTTGCCTCGACTGTTGCCACAAAAACTGGTGCGCGTTTTCGAGGATTTACGTCAGCACCCTCCCAAAAGCTTCTTATTGTTGATGACGGAGTCTTCCTCGACTCCCAGCCACCGCCTCAGCCGTCCGCACTCCGGATGACATGGGCAGTTCACTAGGACTATTTAGGGACGACTAAATACACCTGTGTGTGCAGTGTCGAAACGAAGTGCTAGAGTTTGGGAACGGTGCTATCTAGTGCACCAATCCAAAACCGTTGGGATCCAAAACCGTTGGAAGGTGCAATCTGGTGCACCTAGCCAAAACCGTTGGAAACCGACATTGAACTGAGTAGCCCCTTAAAAAGAAAAGGACGCCATTGTCCTCTTACGATTGTGGCTACAGCCAAGTGTGCTTGGATTGGCTCCTACGACTGTATCCTCCTGATAAACCCCTAACCCTATCTACGGTGCACGTACCAGTCCAGTGCAGGAGACAAGTTTGCTTCCACATTGCTCTGTTAGAGTCATGGCGATAGGTCTTCCTCGACCCCCAGCCACCGCCTCAGCCGTCCGCACCCCGGATGACATGGGCAGTTCACTAGGACTATTAAGGGACGACTAAATACACATGTGTGTGCAGTGTCGAAACGATAGTGCTAGAGTTTGGGAACGGTGCTATCTAGTGCACCAATCCAAAACCGTTGGGATCCAAAACCGTTGGAAGGTGCAATCTGGTGCACCTAGCCAAAACCGTTGGAAACCGACATTGAACTGAGTAGCCCATGTCCAGCTGACGAAGCAGCGTGTCGTAGACACAGCTGCCGGAAGCCCCATGTCAACTGAGTCAGCGGACGGCTGGAGTGGGAGAAACCACCTACTCTAGAGGGGAAAAACCCACGAAGGCAAAGCTTTGCACACGAAAAGGGGAATAATGCAGAGCTATTTGTTTAGACAACTGCAATAGCAGTGGGGGGATGATTGCCAGCGAACGACATAAGGTAAGGCATAGAGTCGCCAGGAGCAAATGTCTTCTGGCGCAGGATGTCGGCGTGGCGACGAGCCAGTCCCAGAGTGTTTCGCAAGTAGTCCATAAAGGCGTTGGATTTCCAGCGCAGGAGCCATTGGATTTGGATCTCGTTATAACCGGCTTCGAAGAGAAGCACGCAAGCGCCCACTCGGAGAGAGTGGGAACTCCAACGACGAAGTTTCGTCTTATCTTTGCTCGGGGAAAACCCAAACTGAGATGCAGCAATGGCACGCATAGACTTGAGGATAGCCTGGGGATGAACTGAATGGACATGGCCATATCGATTGTAGACAAACACCGACAAAGGGGTTTTCACATCCTCAAGGCTTCGAAGACGGATAAAGCGCCGCAGGATTCGAAACATGGCGCAGACCATACAGAGGTGGGGGTACCCGAACAAAGCAACAAAGAGTCGCCACTGCCCATTCTCTCTATTCTTCTGCTGGCGGAAGCACAGCCAAAGTTCAGCCACCATTGACACGTCAATGGGGTTGTCAGCAGTACCAAGAATAGCGGCACCTTCCAGGATTGTGCCGTTGTAAAGCTTTACTTGGACATCACCCAAGCAGAAAGCGTAAGGATCACCATAGATGTTCCGATAGGGAAAATCAGGATCAATGTGGGTCGATTCGGGCTGAGCCCACTCAACCTTTCGGAGTCCAGCGCGAAGAGCAACAACATACCAATCGGCAAAGACTTCGTCAATGTGGTCAGACAAAGGAGCTACCTTGGCTCGCGCAATAGCATCGTACAACATTGGGAGCTTGAAAGCTTCGCGCCGCTGGATTGCCTTCTCATACTTGTCGATATTATCGTAAATCGATTTTAGATGATGGCCCATGGATTCCGAGAAATGAGAATCTTTGCGGTAGTCGCAAAAGGTCTGGGATGCCTTCAGGAGAAGGGCAGCTGCATTACGGATATAGGTTTTGATAGTACTCCCCTTGATGCGCCGACAATACAGACTGCCGTCGGACCAGAGATGCTCGGCATACATACACAAAGCCAGTTGGATGGCTTCGGGATCGGCGTCTTTGATCTCCAAAATTGGAGGGGAGATTGGGACTGGAGTGGTCCAGTCTAAATCATAAGCGAACCCGATGAAATGCACTTGGTGGGAACGAGCTGTCCCAGCTCGCTTGGAAGACTTGGTACCTCCATTGGAGATCTGGAGAATAGACTCCAAGAGAGGAGCTGTAGCAAGGCGGGACTTGGGCGGAAAGAACTCCAGTTTCGCATGAAGCTGAACTTCTGGTACAGCTGCTCAGCCCGTTCACGATGAGAGAGGTAAAAATGGGGGGGACGTGAGATAAAATCGGCCAGGATATTTTCAACAACGGCAATATGCTGAGCAGTGATAATGATGCCAGAGGTTCGCAAACAATCAACAGTAAAACGCCAAAGCAAACGCGACCCTGGTGGTGGACTTGGTGGTGGCACGAATCGCCCAAGAAACAGACGACGTGTTGTAGGACCAAAGATCAACACCACCGGAGATTTCGGCCACCCATCAAGGAAAAACTTTCAGCTTTCCTCCTCGGAGAGAGAGAAAACCGGAGGGCAATCGATGGCAGCCAGCCAGTTCCAGAATGATCGTCAAGAACTCCAAATGATTGATGTGGATGAAGTTGGCGAAGAGGGGTCCAGCTTCAGGCATCGACGAACACGGTCACTCCAAACAATGTCAAACCAGAACTTGAGTTGGGGGCTGTAACCACCAGCGCCATATTCACTGGCATCGCCCCAGGCGATAGCGTGGGGGTCTCTGGGAATGATGGTTCCGATCTTGGCCTCAAACGGAATAGGATCCGACTTCAAGTAATGGAGAATGTTGGACAAGGAACTGCGAAGGGACGAATCGACCGTCTGGGTTCCTTTGTTGCGCCAAATCAGGAGGGCTTTCTCCCGTGCCAAGATGTTTTTGACACGTTTCCAGAGAGCCTCAGGTAGCTCTGCATGCAAGTCGGCTGCCTTCTGCTTGCCAATTCGTTCCCAGGTTTTGCGCTGGGTGAAATAGAGGCGCTGCAACAAGGTACGCATCCGATTCTGGAGGGCAAAGAACCAAGGGCGTGCCCACACCACATAGCGTGTGTGGTTTTCCAAGACGCCTAGGAGCTCAGCACCCTCGAGCAATGAGAACCGATCCTTCTGGAGCCAATCCTCGAGGCGGGAAATGAGCTCAGTTTTCTTGTGCTCCAACATGGAGATAGACAATCGCCGTGTGTTCCAATGGCGGCCAACAATCTGGCGCAAATGGCCATGGAGGGGATCCAACTTCTCCAAACTCAATGGGTTGCTGATGTCAGGGGAGGGCTCACCGAGAATCTTGTAAAGGCTAACGACGCTGCATGCAATCGTGCGCTCCATAGTAGCCCTCACATCAGCTTTAGCACAATCATCAACATGATGAAGGAAAGGTGGTGGGAGACGATTACCATCGCTGTCATGGATGCCTTGATGCTGACTATCACGGGTAGCTTTAGAAAAGCTGGCAATTTCAGCCTCCGTCGGCTCTGGGGTGAACTGGATCGTTGGTAAATATTGGCGCGCCATTTCAACCACATTGGGCTCATTGAGCCACAGCCACCGAGCAAGCCAGGCACGAGCAAGGGCAATCCGGTCCCAGTTGGAAGGAGTTGTATTGTCTCCGAAAGTGCCACCGGTATTGAACACGCCGAAACCACACTGGACACTCGTATGCATGGCAACCAAATTGGGGTGATATTTCAACCAACGGAAGGCACCACTGACGTCATCGTCGCCAAGGTAGATTTCCTCAAACTCGGCGTCAATCCGCGCATTCCACAGCCATTTCATAAACTCTTGTTCGATAGCCACACAGACAACTGGGTTTTCGTACGAAGAGTCCGTCCAGTCGTTGATCGAAACGGAGGAATGGGTGGGACGGAAAGAACTGTCAAAGATCACTCTCGGTTTCTTGTACTTGTTGTCCAGGTCCACCATGCCTTGGGGGGTAACGTGACAGTTCAATACAAAGGGAATGACACGCTTATCGAAAGGTAAGACGTAACCCTTTTTGACATCCTTCACCAGAGTCTTGTAAGACTTCTCGGGTGCCGTTTCGCAGCTCTTGTGATTCCCGTACTGGAAAAACTGCTGGAAGTTTTCCTCCGTGGAATCGGCATTGCAGTGCCGTGGAATGCCCTGGATAAAGATTCGCTCACAGTCTTCGTAGATGTCATCGGGGATCTTCCCTTTCAGGTAGCGAAGCATCTCTGGAACATTGCGATGAGCATTCACATGCGGACCTCCTACCCAACGGACAAGAGCAGCAGCGTCACCATCGAAGAACAGCAGAGCAGCGGTGGCCATTCGGACGCGATGGGGGTCCACTTCTGTCATGTTCTCCCAGTCGGAAGGATAACCCCGAAGGTCGTTGAAATCCACGT